ACACTCAATTCTCGGCCACTTTATGGTAAACATTCTCCTTAATTAGACTAAACTCTTCATCGCTGGACTCGAAGTCGCTTCCGGGCTCTCTGGGGGTCAGACGGCAGCCGCGATTCAAATAGGACTGGAGTTTACCACAAGCGGCCAACAAGAGACCCAAATAGGGTGGACTGGGCTTCAGAGGTCGACTCAAATACTCGGGATGATACTGAACGCCCACAAAGTACGGGTGTTCGGCCAACTCCATCACTTCCATGCGCTGGCCATCGGTGTCCTGACCCACAAACCTGAGTCCCGCCTCATTGAACGCCTCCACAAACTCCGGGTTCACTTCATACCTATGGCGATGGCGTTCGTCCACCGACGCGACGTCACCGTACAGTTGCCTCAATATCGACGGGTATTTGTCGGAGAAAATGGTTGTGCGGCGGCCGACACGCATAGTGCCGCCCATATCTCCGCCGTGATGTTCGGGCATATCAATGACCACTCGGTGCGCGCACTCGGCGTTCATTTCGGTACTGTTGGCGCCGTCCCATCGCAACACATTGCGCGCGAACTCAATGACAGCGCACTGCATACCCAGGCATACGCCCAGGAATGGCTTGCGGTTAATGCGGGCCCACTCGATGGCCAGTATCTTGCCCTCAACGCCGCGGTCGCCGAAACCGCCCGGACATAACACACCCCTAGAAGTAGTAACAAACAAATAATATTAATTACATAATAGGGTTTGTATTGAAAATAATGCGTTAATCGCATGGAAACACGTATAAAATTGATACTAATTTTCCGTTTGATCGCTCATTCATCCCATATTTCCCTACCATTCCCTTCCCTTTCGCTCATTAAATAGCATTACATTAAATAATCATTAAATAAAAAGTTTACAAAACAAATATCCGTAAAACAAAACCAATATTCAGTGCAAACATAAAAACTAAAACATTAAATGCTATTAAAAAGTCCTAAAGTTATATCAAATTACATGTTGTAATTAGAGTCTCATCTCATTTAAACCATTATAATTCAACACAATTTATGTCTGAATGTGAACAGCATATGGATTTAATCATCGATGAGAGACACTACCAGTCCTACAATACACTACTACCCTATCCCTCACCCCTAACCTCCAGACCCATACAAATCAACTGCTAATTAAAACTAAAACACATACTCGGCTTTGCAGAGCGATTGCCAGGCCTCGTAGTACTTGACCGGATCGGTAGCCTTGGTCTGGTGCTCGAGCGACTCGGCCTCGATGACCGTCAGGTGGAGCTTATAGTGGATGTTGAGCGCCGAGTGTTGCAGCGCTTTAATCACCGACGCGTACGAGTCCTGCAAACGCGTGTATTTGCCGACCAACGCGATGGTCACCTCTTTGGTCATCTGGTCGTGACGATCGGCCAATTGGCGCCACTTCCACATCAGCTGTCGGGCCGGTATGTCAGGCAACTGGAGCTGCAGGCGGTCGGCGAAGAAGTGGGCCAAGCGTTGCTCTTCCAGCGCCAAAGGCACCCGATATATGGACGACCGGTCGTGAATGCAGACCACTTGCTCCGGGTCTACGTGACAGAAGTTGGATATCTTCTCCTTCACCTCATCGGTGATGGGGTTTTCGCTCCGGCATATGATCTGCGGACACACA